TCAAGAACAGCGTTCATCTCCCGCTCACCTCACCTGTGGCCACACCTTCCATTAAGGCCACATCTTCTTGTGGCCCTTACTTTCATTATGCCCACATAATGTTCTGTGGTCACAACCTTTTTTCACTGTGGCCACACCATAAACTATAGTCACACCTTCCTTCACTGTGGCCACACCATAAACTATAGTCACACCTTCCTTCACTGTGGCCACACCATAAACTATAGTCACACCTTCCTTCACTGTGGCCACACCATAAACTATAGTCACACCTTCCTTCACTGTGGCCACACCATAAACTATAGTCACACCTTCCTTCACTGTGGCCACACCATAAACTATAGTCACACCTTCCTTCACCGTGGCCACATCATTCACAAATCACAATTTTATTACTATTAGCCACACATTCCACTGTGGCAAGACCTTCACCCTAGACAAGCTGTAAGGTGAAGGGAACACCCAACTCGCCCTAACCAGGGACGCGTCAGTAATCCATGGTGCAGCCGTTGACCACTTTAGTGTGTGATGGTGAGTCATGGTGGAGGGGAAGAAGACGTCTACGAAGGAAGGGAACGCGGCCAGCCAGACGACCTTGCCGTATTTGGGACATTCAAGCCGCCGCCACCACCCAGGATCTCGTGACGTCACCCTTGACACACGCGCTGTGTCGTCACCGCTTACGTCACGAGATAACCAGGGGGTTGCTAGGCAGCGGCAACAACAACAACTACCATATACGGCTTCAGGTGGGCTACCCCCTCCCTTCACCCCTCACCCTGCCCTTGAACGCTGTCAGGGTGAGGGGCAGTGGTGGACAGGGAGAGACAGTAAGGTGAGGAACAGTATGGTGAGGGGCAGTAGGGGGAGGTACAGTAGGTTGAGGGTACAGTATTTTGTTTATTATTATTATCCAAAGAGACAAAAAGAGAAAAAAAGAAAGAAAGAAAGATAGATAGATTGATTTGTATACCAACAGTGTTAAAATAACCATAACTGTGGTACAACTACTCTCTCTCTCTCTCTCTCTCACTCTCTCTCATGACATACTACCATAACTCATGACACTACCATAACTGGTGACACTACCATAACTCATGACACACTACCCTAACTCATGACACACTACCATACTGGTGACACACTACCATACTGGTGACACACTACCATACTGGTGACACACTACCATAACTCATGACACACTACCATACTGGTGACACTACCACAACTCATGACACTACCATAACTCATGACACTACTATACCTCATGACACACTACCATAACTCATGACACACTACCATACTGGTGACACACTACCATACTGGTGACACACTACCATAACTCATGACACACTACCATACTGGTGACACTACCATACTGGTGACACACTACCATAACTCATGACACTACCATAACTCATGACACTACTATACCTCATGACCCACTACCATAACTCATGACACACTACCATAACTCATGACCCACTACCATAACTCATGACCCACTACCATAACTCATCATATACTACCATAACTCATGACACACTGCCATAACTCGCGACACACTACCATAACTGGTGACACACTACCATAACTGGTGACACACTACCATAACTCATAGCACGCTACCATAACTGGTGACACACTATCATAACTCATGACATACTACCATAACTCATGACACACTACCATAACTCATGACACACTACCATAACTCATGACACACTACCATAACTGGTGACACACTATCATAACTCATGACACACTACCATCACTGGTGACACTACCATAACTCATGACACACTACCATGACTCATGACATACTACCATAACTCATGACATACTACCATGACTCATGACATACTACCATAACTCATGACACACTACCATGACTCATGACATACTACCATAACTCATGACACACTACCATGACTCATGACATACTACCATAACTCATGACACACTACCATGACTCATGACATACCATAACTCATGACATACTACCTACCATAACTCATGACACACTACCATGACTCGACATACTACCATAACTCATGACATACTACCATAACTCATGACACACTACCATAACTCATGACATACTACCATAACTCATGACATACTACCATAACTCATGACATACTACCATAACTCATGACATACTACCATAACTCATGACATACTACCACAACTCATGACATACTACCATGACTCATGACATACTACCATAACTCATGACATACTACCATAACTCATGACATACTACCATGACTCATGACACACTACCATGACTCATGACATACTACCATAACTGGTGACACACTACCATAACTCGTGACACACTACCATAACTCATGTCATACTACCATAACTCATGACCCACTACCATAACTCATGACATACTACCATGACTCATGACACACTACCATAACTCATGACACACTACCATAACTCGTGACACACTACCATAACTCATGTCACACTACCATAACTCATGACACACTACCATAACTCATGACACACTAGCATAACTCGTGACACACTACCATAACTCATGTCACACTACCATAACTCATGACACACTACCATAACTCATGTCACACTACCATAACTCATGACCCACTACCATAACTCATGACATACTACCATGACTCATGACACACTACCATAACTCATGACACACTAGCATAACTCGTGACACACTACCATAACTCATGTCACACTACCATAACTCATGACACACTACCATAACTCATGACACACTAGCATAACTCGTGACACACTACCATAACTCATGTCACACTACCATAACTCATGACACACTACCATAACTCATGTCACACTACCATAACTCATGACCCACTACCATAACTCATGACATACTACCATGACTCATGACACACTACCATAACTCATGACACACTAGCATAACTCGTGACACACTA